TGGAAACGCATCTCAGACTGTGGAAACCCATCTCAGACTGTGGAAACGCATCTCAATGCTGAGGAAGCGCACCTGCAATGTTAAGGAAATCCTTCTCAAACACCAGAGAAGCCCTTCTCAAACACCAGAGGAGCCCATCTCAAACACCATGGAAACCCATCTCAAAYGTTAAGGAAAGGTTTTTACTGAAGGGACAAAAGGGGGATCAGCAGTAGATAAGCAGGCAACTAACTGATCCTTAAACTGTACCAAAAGCAGCGGGCTAATTTTCTCCTAGAAGGTGCCCTGTAGGCCAGCTGGTTGGCTTTCCACTCTCACATCCACTGATTACCATAATAAATCACCCCAAGTAGGGAAACACCCTGCCCAAAACTCTGCGTCCGAGTCTCTGCTGCAGTTTCTTCACTGACCTTCAACGTGCCCCTTAAGATGTGAGCTTAAAAGCAGGAGCTCACTGGCTTTCCGTGGGGCTGAAACACCTCCTGGTCTCCTAGCACGTCCTCCCATGCTTTCCAGCACCCAAAAACCAAACAAAATTTTGCTGGCAAAAGGAATGAACACCCGTGGGGGTAGGAATGGTCAGAGGGCTACCAGGGGGGCTGGTGTTGCCTCCTCACGGCTAGAAAACTGCTCACCTTGGTCTGCAGTGCCCTGCGCGGGTGCCTTACACTGGCTAGTGGCATTTGTGTCCTGCCCCCGTGTCCCGGTGAGCGCTCCCCAGGCTGCTCACACACCGAGACCCCCGCGCGGAGGGGCCCCGCACCTTGTGCTGCTCGGCRTCACCCGGAGAAGTCGGGCTCCGTCCTCCTCGAACCTTGCCCGCGTGACGGCGCTGGGGCCTCGCCTGGTCAGTGCTGCAGGCCCCAGCTCCAGCGCTTACTCCCTTAGACCGTGTCCTCCAGCACTGGTCATCTGGGAGCATCTCCGKTTTCTCCATGCCCCTTTTTGGGCAGGGCACCCAACCCAGGCATGGCATCGCTGATAGGTCCCCCCAGCACCATGCCGGGGGTGCCAACCGCCCTCAGGGTGTTCTGGAATTTCCCTTTCCAACTGGAGCCGTTTGAACGCAGCACCCCAGGACACGAGGCAGCAGCAGAAGGGAACTGCGGGGAGCACGGGGTGCAGGGACCCGGTGGTTGTCGCTGCAGCGTGAGCCCTGGCACCRGCTCTTGCAGCTCTGCACCTCTCGGCCTCAGCCTGTGCCAAATCCACACGTGCTGGCTGCCTTCCAGGTGGGCATCTGTTCGTAAGGGGATTTAGTAGCTGGAAAGGGAAACTGGTCCGTGCAGGGACCAGCACTAAGATGCTCTTTCCACTGGCGAGAGTAATTAGTGCCTGAAGCCGCTCGGGGTTGGAGTCGGACAATGAAAATGCTTAAATGGGGTGGGTGTCTCTAGGAAAGACGGGAATGAATTCTCCCAAACGAAAGAGGCTGGATGAGACAGCTATTGTGAATCTCCCATATATTAAATCCGTAGGAAACAAGGTCCTGAGCTGCTTTGCTGGATCTCATCCCTGCACAGGGGTCTGTGCAGGCCCCGTCCTCAGAGCCCCCCGAATAGCTGGGCTAGAGGTGTCCCCTCCTCGCTTCACAGCCCCTGCTCACCACTCTCCGAGCTGCCCCAGTCGCTTTTCCCTCTCCAGGGTTATGTGAAGGGTCACTTGCCTCTGGCACATCTGTCTTGTTTTGTCCTTTTTTTTCCCTATAAACAGCAGGGCAGAGACAGAGCTACTTAAATTCACCTGTCATAGGCTAAGCGAGCTGCTGTGTCTCTGTGATGTGCCAGTTGTCCTCTCTTTTTTCCCTATGGAATGGGAGGCAATGCCAAGGCTTAAGTAAAACCTTGGAAGCTGATGATTGACCTGAAAGAGGTACAGGAAAGAGGAACAAGGAAAGAGGAACAGGAGACTGGGATCTTCTGGCAGCTCAGGGGGGAGYGGGGAGGGATGGAGATATGGATCTGCTGTGGGAAGGCAGGTCGGTTCTGGACTGAATGAACCGACGGCGTGAAGAAGGAGGGGTAATGGCTGAGCACAAGCCGTGGCTCCAGCACCATCCTGGCAGCTCTGCAGAGAGAAACAGCCGGTGCTGAGGATCCCGCGTCCACGCGGAGGGGCTTGCCTTGGCCTGACTCCAGCCCGGCTGGGCAACAGATCACGCTTTGGGATGAAGCCAAATGCTCATGTAGGTGTTGGTCTGTGGCCCAGCCTGCCGCGTGGCTGGCTCTGCTGAACTCCTGCCATGGTGAGGAGCCCCAGGAAGAAGCAGCCCGCGGGGAAAGCCCTATCCAGGCACATCCTCTCCCAGCTGTCAGCAGCCCTGGAAAACCCGGACATCAAAGCTTTGGAGGTGAGGTGAGATTTCGCGTTTGACATGGGTGTGATGGTGAACCCAAAGGGGAGGTTTTTTGCCAAAAATCAGAGCGATTGCCCCAGTGTGAACTTTGCAAGAAAACGAGGGGAACCCTGATGTGCCCCAGAATGTGAGGAAATGACAGAGAAAGTGCCTTTCTGCAAAGGATGAACATCCCTGGGGATACACAAAGGAGCACGTTATTGTTGAGTCTTTCTCAAGCTAAGAAGAGCTGATCCCAAGCATTTATCTGTGATTTTCCAGTTATCCTTACGAAAGGTCAGCCGAATAATTTCCAGCCAGCACTTTGTCCAGGTTGGTCACGCTTTCCCGCCGTGGTAGCCCCCCAGGCACTGCACGAGGCCCCGCAGCGGCACTGCAGGCAATGCCTCCTGCTGCTGCTGGAGACTGCCTCCTCAGAGACAGTGTGAGGAATGAGTCTGTCCTCATTCCCCCATGGAAATACGGAGGCCGTGCTGGCTGCATGGACACTGCCTTTCTCACCCACCGCAGAAAAGCACCGCAGGAATGCGGGCTTGCTCCCATCCGTGGTCTAGCTGGGATCATCTCCAAGACCTCATGGCCACGACAGGTGTAACCCCCTAAATCCAGCTGGTTATCAACCACTGGCACGGGGTTCAAGCCACAGTGACGGGGCAGCAAAGACCATGGGCACCGGGGAGGGTGCTGGGCTGGGCACAACCGGAGCGTTGCCAGCGATGTCCTCCCGCCGCAGTGGGCCGAGGACGGGCGAGGCGTCCTTGTCCACGCCGAGCGGTACGAGGAGGAGCTGCAGAACAACAAGGAGCTCTTCCCCGAGCTGAAGGATCTCACACCTGCCTCGGCGCTGCAGGGCTGGCTGCTGGCCTCTGGCTTCCAGCTCAGGGAAGCCAAGTAAGTGGCCACGATGCCTTTGCGAGCCAAGCTTACCTTGCAATGAAGCCCGGACTGGCTGCGCTGGGAGCAGCGCCGGGCAGGGCCCTCGTGTGCCCTGGGTGCGTCTGCAGCGCGTGCGGCTGAACCGAGGCAGGGGGAAGGCAGCGGATGAGCGTAGCGCTCCAGATATCCGCAGCAAGGATTTGCAGCTTAGCGCCATTTTGCGGCTTTGGTTTTATTTTGTGCTGCTGGAGATTTAGGGAACTCGGTTTGCAGCAATTTTAAGAGTCGCTTAGAGTTCGAAAGAGCAGATCAACTGGAGATAAGCGCGTAAAGGGAGACGCCCGAGGGGATGTGGGGTCACTAGTAAAGAGGGAAGCAGGATCTAGGCGACCAAGCCCAAGGGCAAGCCCCGAGCAGATGAAGCAGGGCACGGGGAGAAGCGGGAAGAGCCCAGGCATGGAGGGACTTAATCTGGATTTAAATGCAGCCCCAAGCCCCACTGGGGTGCCTCGCTCCTTGGCTTTTTCCCCGCAGCCTGATGCCGGGGTGCAGCCGCCCTGGAACTCAGGCAGCTTCTTTCGGTCCTGCAGGGTCGATTCGCAGGTGCTCGTCTTCCAGCACACTGATTTCCAGCAGCTGCATCCCAAAGCCCAAGGGACAGAAGCCCTCGGAGGCAATTCCAGCCTCTGTGCCGCGCCTCAGAAGAAAAGGAAGAGGAGGAGGCCGAGGAGCAGCCGGTGCTGCGGTGCAGGCAGCGCCGGGGGGGCTGCCCTGGACGCGCTGGGTGAGCACAGAGGGGTGCAGGGCTCGCCCTGCTCACTGCCGGGGCTGGCAGCTGTTTTCATCATTCCAAGCAAGCCATGTCGGGAATGATGCCAGGGATACGGGCAGGGCAGGGGTGCGAGGCTTGCCCCTTCCCGTCCCCGTGGCAGGCCGCCTGCAGCGCCTGCGCCCCTTGTACCAGTACATCAACCTGGAGAGCCCGGAGCTGAGCGGCCCGGCCGACGAGGAGGAGGAGGAGGGGGAAGCAGCGAGGCAGGCCCAGGCGGAGCGGGGCGCCGGAGCCCCGCGAAGGGCAACGGCCCCGGAGCTCCAGGGAGGTACAGCAGACACACTGGGGGGGTTGGAGCCCCTCTAGGTAACCCACCTTCGTCCTCCTCCCCATCAATACAGGAAAAACGCAGTAACAATTAAAGCAAGCAAAGGCTGCTCTAAAAATGAAAAAGATGGATATTTCTAAGCTTTCAGCTACAAGTCCTGAAATCTCAAGGTCTGAGCAAAAATAGAGCAGAGTTCTGCTTTAACCCTAGCTCCCGAGCACCTTCCTAAGTCTGTCTGAGCTCTTATCTGCCATTCCCAAGGCACATCCTGATTACTCGCAATTTGCACCTCACAGCCCTTTTCCATCTTTGAAACGTTACTCTAAATTCTTGGCCAGGGGCAGGCAAAGAGAGACTTTTTAACAGAAAAGTCTTTCCTTTGGCCTTCTGCTGTTGAACACAACAGCCAAAGAGACGGGGACCTCTGCCACCCACACGGCAGCCTTTGCTCGACTCCACAGCGCGCAGGGCCGCTCGCTCGCAGCACCACAGCGAGGCAAAGCCGTGACCGAGCTCAGCTAGCGGCGGGGACGGCGGCGAGAGGCCGGGCCGGCCGCGCGCACCTCCCTCTGCCGCCGCATCCCGCCCTGGCCCCACGGGTCSTCCCGCAGTTGTGGAGGGCGGCACCTGAGGCGCTGCTTTCCCTGCAGGCGCCGGGGACCCCGCGGGGCCCGAGGACAGGGCGGCCCAGGTGGACGTGGAGAAGATGCTCAGCGTGTGCGCCGCCCACCTCGTGCCTCCTCTCTCGCCGCAGCACAAGTAGCCCCGCGGCTGCGCCCGGCCTCCGGCGTCCCTCGTGCACGCACGGTCCTCTGGCTCCCTTTTTCTATAAACAAAGAGAATGATTTCCCTGAAAAGAGCCTTTTTTTTTCTGAGATGCACTAGACCAACAGGGGCTACCTGGGGCATCTTTCCCGCGGGATGCGGATTCACCTGCGTGTTCCCTGGCTACCATCCAAGGCTGCGCAGCTGGGTAGTGCAGAGACCCCTTCTCCTGCCCTGCCCAAGRCAGCCCAAGGCTCACGGGCTCCGGCTGAGGGCAGCGACTGCTCCAGGCCGGCCCGGGAGATGCCACCTCGCCCGCGCCACCCGCATAGCCCACAGACACAGGGCAGGCGCTCCGAGCCACCGCACCAAGGTCCCCCCGCAGCAGAGAGGCACTCGCAGAGATGCGGCTCCACTGCCTGCTGGAACTGGGAGTAACGGACCCACTGTAGCACTCCGCACAGATGAGATTGCTGGGAGGGCAGGAGCAGCCCTGGCACTGCCCTCGGAAGCAGCCTGGCAGGAGAGCTGCTGCTGACAGAGCGGAAAGCAGAGAGGCACCTGAGACCAGCCCCATGGGCCAGCAGGGCTTGCTGCTTGGCTTGCTGCTTGGCTTGCTCCTTCCAGGAATTTCTGCACAGAGGTAGACAGAAAATAGAGACCATTAATCCCAAGCGCTCACAGGAAGGAAACATCGAAGATGTGGGAAACACACGTCACTTGGCATCCTTTCCATGGGCCACACGTGGACACCCAGTGCCTTTTCTTGGGCACTACAAAGGCATGCCCGTGTTTTTCACAGGGCACGGAAAGGAGGGAGGACGGAGCGGGCAGTTATCCCAAACGCACACGGCTGYGATGATCAGAGACAGAGCAAGAGCAGAACCTTCTTGGCTGCCACAAAACACCAGCTGCAGGCGCCCCGCGCCGGCCCCTCGCGGGGATGACCCTCTGCTCCTGCTCCTGAGGGGGCTTTCAGCCGCTCCAAATCAAACACACAAGGAAGAGCTGCCTAAATAATGCCCTCAACAACCACAACTTTTTATTTCTGTAGAAAACAAGTCAGATGCTCTTCAGGAAGGACCAGCTCATGAAAAAGCTGCTTGCGTGTCACAACGTACATAAATACACAGGGTTACACGTTAGTGGGAAAGCACACTTTAAAAGCTTTCAAGTACACAAAATAAATGTAGTAAAACTGGATTCTCCTTTCCAAACGGCTGCCTAAGAGAGAAACGTGTCCCAAAGGGAACGAGCTTCCCCTCGCGCTGGGCCGGGAAGCTCCTYTGGACGAGGGCGTGAGGTGGCCAGGGCCAGGAGATAGAGACGCAGTGCTTGAGATCGGGAACAAGCTTCCCRGGACGGGGACAGTCCCCGCTCCTTAGCCACGGGGCTGGCTGTAGTGTGAACACAACCGCGCCCCACRGCAAAGGCAGCCCGGCAGTCGATGCTCCCCAATCCCGCTCTACTTGCTTTTATGCTAAAACTGTTAAAATAAGCACCGGTTCTCCTGGGATCGCAAGGATCCCAGGGATCCTTGGATCCCAGGATCTCCTGGGATGCAAGGGCAGAGATCCCGCGCTTCCCTTCAGCTGCTGCACGTGCAAAGGGCAATTCAAGTTTTCTTTACAGTCTCCAAGACAGAGAAAAAAACAAACCAAAAGAAAAAAAACAAACACTTGGAAAACCCGAAATACTCAAAAACTCTTCACAGACTTTCCAATCAGAACAGTTTCTATCAGCACGTGACATATTTTACACACATAAAAAACAAAGCTTCAAGAGACTCAGCATATTAAATAAGAATCGACATATCCTAAAACCAGAGATTTTTATGGTTGCAGCCAGAACCGTTAATGGTCCCAGCAGGCCAGACGGGCCGCTCACAAGTTATTTCTCTGCAGCGCCTCGCAAAGGTTTTGATTGGCGTCCGGCTCCTCAGTCATCACCTCCACGGCCTCCCACTCCCCCGAGCGGCTGGACTTCTTGATGGCCTCGACCACGCTCTGCATGTAGAGGCCATCCTCAAAAGAGGCCGCCATAGAAACAGGTTTATGATCCCACGTCCGCCGGTCCTCCTGGTCTTGGAAGGACTGTCGCAAGGCTTGCACCATGTACACCATTCCTTTCAGGTAGAGCAGCGGGATGTCTTTAAAGCCCTTTTCCAAAAGGCCCTTGTTGACAGTCAGAGGATCTGTAAACAGCAGCTCTTCCTGCAGCGCCGTGTTCTTCTGCCCATACAGGTCCGTGCCACGGGCCACGAGGCGCCCGGCGGAGCCGACCACCATGACCTCATGGGTGAAGGAGCCGGGCATGTTGAAGTTGAGAGTCACAGTGCAACAGACGCCCTCGCTCATGAGCATCTGGAAGAAGCAGAAGTCATCGCTGGTGACGTGGCGGATGCCGCTTATGGCCGTGTTCTGCTTCACAAAAGTCTTGAGCAAGCCGTGGACTTTGTGGGCCCTGCGGCTGGTGAGGTGAGTGAGGAGGTCGATGATGTAGGTGCCCATGGTGTGCAGGCCGCCTCCCCCCATGAGCTCGTCACAGATCCAGTTGTACTTGTGGCTCAGCAGGCTCCCGCCGTACACGCGCACGTCGCAGATCATCACGTTGCCCACGTAGCGCTCCTCTATCAGCTGCTTCATCTTCCCAAAGGCGGGCAGGAAGCGGAGAACGTTGCCGACGAGGCTCATCAGCTTGGGGTAATACCTGGCGGCCGTGACCATCCGGAAGGCGTCCACAGAGGTAGCGGCTTTCTCGCAGATCACGTTCTTCCCTATTCCTGCAGCGCAAAACAGGGAATCGTCACTGCGCGCGGGCAACCCAAGCACGCTCACGTGCTCCCGAGGCAACCGCCACGCGACGGTTCCCAAGAGCCCGGCTCCCTGCGCAATTCCAAAGGTTTAGGAAATGAAATAGCAACGTGGAGCAAGCAGTGAGACTCCAAGCTGCTTCCAAGCCGTTCCAGTTGCAGAGCCACCACACTCCRACAGGGAAAGGCTCCAAAGAAGGAGAGTTTTTAGGACTGTGACAGGATGCGACAGTGTTGGCCCTGTGGTGGGACAGCTCAGCCGATCCGCTTTAATTCTGTTCTCTCCCATTAAGGGTAGCAGCCAGAGGGTATTTTGTTTAGAAGGATGCTTCAAAATGGAACAGTCCCACTAACATAAACCCAGCCTACCCTGGGCTTCCCAAATCCTTAAGACTGAGCAACTGCTTTAAACTCTCCTCAGGAAGACCCACCGCCACCACCTTCTGCTTTCTCTGCTTCCCCCCAGTAGGGAGCTCCTCCACATCTTGCCAGATGACGTATTTCTTTGCAAGGAATGCCTCATTTTKCAGGAAATCTCCCTCTTGCCGTAAGAGTTGGGTGAAATGAGGTAAAACGCATCAAAACAAGACTAAGAGCCAGAGCAGGAAGATCATCGTGGCAATCGGCGCTCCGCAGAGAAAAGGCGACCGAAGGGGAGATTTGATGACAACTTTTTACTTTGCACTTCTTAYGAATGTCTTATTAAAATAAACTCAAAGAAACGGGAGATAAGGTATTTAGGGGCCTGCGTAGAGGAGTCAAGAATTAGAAATAATGGTTTTGTAAGTGGATYGCTTCCAGAGCACAGCTAATCGGAGAGCAAGACACTTTGGTCTGCAGCTCTAGGACAGCTGCAGCAGTGGGGAGGACTTCTGCGTGCAGGGTTAAACAGAAAGGCACCTRTAGGAGTCGGGTAGGGGGGAACTGCATTTACAGGCTGACCCAGGCCAATAAATTCCTGCTTTTTCTAAGCAGAAACCAAGCGACACAGGAGAGCACCTCAGGGCAAGCTCCAGCCTCAATCCCCCATCCACACTCTGCTGGGATTCCTTCTCCCTTCCCCATCCTCACCTTTYCCTTGCTTCTTTGCGGCACAGCTGTATCCCACAGGGCTGCAGTTCCTGCATCCAACACTCCCCCTCCTGGCTGCACCAGGGAAGTGGTTCCTGGAGCCCCTGGAAGGGTCCAGGGGCTGGTGAGCAGGATGAAGCTGGGAATACAAGGGAGCTCTCGACCCAGCCAGGGAACACGTGGAGCTAAAGCCACCCCTAGGCACGCGTTTCTAACSGGCAAACTGAAAAGCCAGTCAGAAGGACAGGGCTCCACCGCCGTCATCGCTTTGAGTACGAACAGCTCTCACCCAAAGAGCACCAGAACAATGAAACTCTCTTTTTGTTAATTTTTCCCACTATTTTCCAAAGACCTGAAATAAATGGCCATCCAAARGAGTTTTGGTGACCAGGTCACACTCCCTGGAGTCCCCAGGGGTTCGGCTGTGCTCCCAGCTCTCTTGCTGCTTACCCCCCGGTCCCCGTTCAGGAACCTTTTCTGACCCTCCTGCGCCCAGTTCCTGCTGCCAAGATGGGCAAAACCCAGCAGCGAGCGAGGMGCAAGTCAGAGGGGCAACAAGGGAAAAGCCCTCACCAAGATCTTCTCGTGACGACGCTTTTGGCCTGGATGCCACCCTGTGCCACGTGCTGTAGGTGTCCCTGCTCGAGCAGGAGGCTTGGACTAGAYGATCTCGAGAGGTCCCTTCCAACCTCAACCATTCTGTGATTCTGTGATATCTAAGGCTCAGGAAGAGCGGAGCCAGATGTTAGAGGAAAGCAGCCCTAGTGCTTACTGAAACTGAGCAAGGGGCACCAGTTCTCTGCAGCTTCTGGGCTCTAGGGCCACCTGCACCGGGAAAAAGAGGGCACTCTGTACTTCAAATGCCTGGCTTGAACACAGGCCCAAGCAAGCTGCAAGAATGAGCTAATAAATTGGAGTTAAGGCTGAAAAAAACAACCAAATGACAAAACATCCTGCAGTAAAACTCAGAACCGGCATTGGTTGTGGTAGTGGAAAGCAGAGGGGAAAAAGAAAAAGAAAAAGAAAAAGAAAAAGAAAAAGAAAAAGAAAAAGAAAAA